TCACTGGCCCTCATGTGGGATCCGAACCGGGGCCCTGCTGCTCAGAGCTGGTGTCCCAAGCCAACTCCTAACCAACGCGCCACTCGGCCGGCCCTCTAATTATTTTTATTGGGTCAATTTGCATGATCCTAAATATTAAACTAAGGTTTGGTAGCCTGTATCAATAAACAACAAGTTCTCAAGAGTGATGAAAATACATCATCGCTCTGGCCCCTAACACGCAGCTGTTATATTGTTTAGCTTCTTATTTGCTCGTGTTTTTATTTCCAGAATCATTCCCCCTTGTCCAGCTTCCTTTCTCTGTTTTGTGCATCTTGGAGACCATTCCATCTCATTCCACACAGGTTCCTCGTTCTTTCTGCAGCAACAGCCTCATTAAATCATTGTATCCCATTTTTGACGGTCGTTGAGGTTGCTTCCAGTTTTGTTTATCTGTGCCGTTACGAGCAATGCTGCCGTGAACATCCTTGTACCTATTTCTTTGCCACGTTTCTGCAAGTATATCTAAAAGGCCAGCTCCCTGGAGTGCAACCTCAGGGTCAAAAGGCATGCATATTCTTATTTTGACAGATTTTGCCCCAAAGCCTAGACCAATTTACATTTCCACCAGCCAATCTGAGGGTATGACTCCTCTCCCCTCGGTCTTGCCAACATTGGGTGTGATCGTATGTGAAAATCTTCAGCAATCTGATATGTCAGCATGGTTTTGATTGGGCTTTATTTCATTGTGACAGACGCTGAGCATCTTTTTTGTGAGTGTGTTGGCCATTTCTGTCCATTTTCCTCTTGCTGGCGCTTTTCAATAATGTCTGGTTCCATTTCGAAAGATAGCAGGCTTTTCTAGCCAGTCTCTCCCTCCATCTTCCCTCTCAGGTCACGACATCGCTTTCGAGGCCCAAATAGTTTCCTCACAGCTGTCTCCCCTCCCTGTGGGAGAGATGGGGCAGAGGCCACAGAGAGAGCCTGTGATGGGCTTGAGGATGGTGGGAGGAGAACGGGAAACTTGCCAGAGCTGGGGCGCCCGCTATCTCCCCATCATTGCCCTGTGCACAGTAACGCAGGACAGATAAGAGCTGCAGCCGGTGGCAGAGATAAGAGGCTTGGACAGCCAGAAGGTTCTGGATAATGCTGCAGCCGAGGCAGCTCGTCACGTGCTCACCTGTGAGGTGGGGCTCCTGCAGCCCCAGGACGGAAGGTGGGCCCTTTGAGCTGTGATGTCAGTGTTGAACGGGTTAGCGACGGGGCTTGGACTCCGAAAGGCTCTGTGGGATCCTGGCTCTGACTTTCTACTACACGTGAGACCGCAGGTCAACGATGACGTATTTCTGAACCTTGATTTCCCCACCTCTAAAATCGGGGTGCTGATAAAAGTATCCCCTCCATAGGATGAGCATGGAGATTAAATGAAAGGCTCTCAAGTGCAGACCCACCACAACCGTTGGCACCTGCCCACCTAAAATTAGGAAAGTGAAACTAGTGTGGTGGGCTTTGCATAAAATTTGTTGAAATGGCTTTTATGCTGAAGTTCCTTCCTTTTTTTTTTTTGTGATCTCAGAAATGTCCTTTATATATAAAATGCTGACCATTTCTATTTATTTTTGTCTCCCTGACTGGCACTTTTTAATATTATCTTTGTGTGTATGTGTTTCGTTGATTGTTTCTCCGTTTGCTTTTTGGGTGGCTGGTTTTAATGATCTTACTTGGCAAAGTAAAAGGTTGACAATCATGTCCATCCCCATTTTTTTAAAGTGTTACTGGTCCATGATATCCAACCATCTGGGAACTGCTGTGTGAAATGAAAAAAATGTATGAAAAGTACTTAATACAGCATCATTGATGTGAGATGATAACGATGATGGTGGTGGTGGTGGTGATGGTGATGGTGATGATGGGCCCTGGCCAGAACACGTGTCAAAGAAAACTTGGCGAGTCCTGGGAGTTAGGTTGCTCTGTCCCAGCGTTGGCGTAGCCCACGGGCAGGCGGCAATGAGCTTGTCCACCGAGTCAGCTGGGCAAACCCTAGGACACCCGAGGACTGGGGAGATGCCCTAGGCACAGACCCCTTGATTCATTGAGGTCTGTGCTGGGCTGCTCAGTCCCTGGGGATAGGAAAGGTGGTCCCAGAGCGGGTGCCAGGGGAACTAGCCCCTCCCTACCAGAGGCCACCACCCGCCCATGTCTGGCTGCTGAAAGCTCCTCTCACTGACCCAGCCTGGCCGCCTCCCTTGCCTCTCAGCCAGGTGAGCTCACCTCACTCATGCTCTCTCCCAACACAGGCTCGGAGGCAGTTTGGGCCAGTCATGGGCTCCCCAGGGACCCCTCAGGTTCGTGCATCCTGGCCCCAGGGCCCCCAGGCAACCGGTCCTGCTCAGAACGCTCTGCCTTTTCCCTCCACAGAGCTGCAGTGGAGCTGCCTGTAACTTTAAGGATGGACCGATGCAAAGCATTTGGGAAGCATGTAAATTCCCCCGTCTCTGTCACCTCCATCTGTTTCAGTGACTAGCACAGCACAGTCCCCACCTTTCTCAGGCATGCGAGTCACGGGCAGGGGAGGGCAGCAGCCTTCAACGGACCCCACAAGGTCCTGGGAGACCTGGTCACAGCCAGGGTCAAGGGCTGGGCACAGGACCTCCTGTCCTTGGGAAAGTGCAGGCTACTTCCTGGGCACCTCAGCGAAAACCTCCATTGCCTTTGGGAGGGACGCTGCTATTGATAAGGACCTTTCTGTGACCTCATGACACGGCCAGAGATTCGAGAGCTCAGGTCTTCTTCATTCCAGAAGAGGGTGAGGTGGCGACCTCTGCCCTCTGACCCCGGTCTGACCTGTGCTTCCCTACACCTGCCTGACTTGCTCACTGGCTGTCTCGTCTGCCCTCAGGTACATGATCACCAGCCTGGACCGCACCCACGCTGGCTTCTACCGCTGCATCGTGCGGAACCGGATGGGCGCTTTGCTGCAGCGGCAAACTGAGGTCCAAGTGGCCTGTGAGTACAAGGGCAGGGCGGGCGTGAAGCAGGAGAGCGTGGGCAGGGCCCTTACCCACCAGCTGTGCTCCTTCTGTGCTCATTGGGTGCTGCTCGGGCCCTTCCCGCGTATCTGGCCCAGTTGATGGAGTCAAGGCCCCGAGAGGGGGCGGGAGCTCTCAGGGTTACATGGCCCGATAAGTGACACACACCTCTGCTGGCTCTGAGTTCAGCACTCTTGCTTTGCTTTTTAAAAGGAGGCCCCATCACCTGCTTTGAGGGCCTCCTCTGGGATTGGCCTCACACTTGGGGGGACGGGAGGGGGGGTGTTCCTAATAGCCAATCTGAACCTCTCTAGCTATGACACTCTTCTCAGTCGACTTCCCAGGGGCCCCCATGACCTTAATGTTTCCATCCAACTTGCTCAGCCCTGGAGCACTAACAGTGTTGGGGTCCCCCCGACCTTCGGGGGGCATTGGGAGAGGCCTCACAGTGGGCACCATAGCTTTAAGGGTTCCTGGAGGGGCCAAGTGGGCAGAGGGTAAAGTGGGAGACCCTCGGCTAGCTTTTGGGGGTAACAGCCCTCTCCTCAGTGCCACCACCCCACACAAGTGTGGCTTCAGATGGAAGAGGGAAGGCAGCTTCAGAAGAACCAAGGGCACCTCAGGGCATCACCCTCCCCTGCGACTCAGTTTCCCCTTCCCTGTCCTATCCCCCCTCCCCCCCGGCCCCATCCTAAATAGCTGCTCTGTGCTAGGAATGAGCCTCATATGGGCTGTTTCATTTCGGGTGTTTCAGGGGGAGGGGCCCATGGTTGCACAGTGGGATGTGAGCGTGCGGAAAGCCTTCTTGAGCCCTGAAATTTTTTTAGAAGAAGGACAGCCACTCATCCAGAGCCCCCAGGGGCGCGCCTCTGACTTAGCACAGGCGAGAGCTTTCTACTTGGAGAGAAGTAGAAAGAGAAATCTAATAGGAGACCTCAAGTGAGCCAAAGAGTGTTTATAATAATTATGGAAAACAGCCGTAATCAGAAGTGCAGGACGGCTTGTCCCCATAAATCAGCGCTAAAGGCGCCTCGACTTACTCCAAGGAGCGGAAAAGCCCTGAATTAAAATGACGGATCAGGGCTGCTGTCAGGCTGGAGGACTCCCGTGGAGTTTCGTTTAGCCGGTGCCCGGAGTCCATCAGGGCACGGGCAGCCGTGGGGCAGCCTCCAGAGACACTGCGTGTACATGCACGTGTGTTCAAGTGCAGGTGCACTGGTGTGGGTTTGTACACGTGTGTATGCAAATATGTGTGTGCAAAAAAAAATATTGGCCTGCCTCTTTGTCCCCCTGTGTGTGGGAGAGAGAAAGATAGAGAGAGTGTGTGTGTGTGTGTGCGCGCGCGCATGTGTGCATGTGTGTGTGCACATGTGTGTGCATGCATGCAGATGTGCGTGCCTGGGTTGGACTGCCTCTTTGCTCACCTGTGTGCTGGTGAGAATACATATGTATGTGTGTGCATGTGTGCGCGCACATGTGTGTGCATACATGCATGTGTGCAGATGTGCATGCCTGGGTTGGTCTGCCTCTTTGTTCACCTGTGTGTGGGAGAGAATGCGTGTGCAGTTGGAAGTGCCATCCAGGACACCAGTCGGCCCAGACTGTTGTGGGGGGTGTCTGTTCCAAGCCTTTGGCTTGTAGGAACAGTAGGAACTTTCTGGAGTTGAGAGCCCCCAAGGTGACAGTCTCCTGTGGGCTGGCTCTGCTGATCAGAAAAAGACAAGAAGGGGAGCCTAGTGTCCGTGTGGCTGAAATGCGCCTTCCTTGGCTGTGATAGGGACCCAGGAGCCGAGGACTCGGCCCTCTGACCCCCCACAACATGCAAACTCCTTCTCACATCACATAAACCCACAATGGGGGTGCTGCCAGACACACGCACGGGCCCTGTTCCCAGACCCACCGGTATCCTCCTGCCCCCAAGCCGAGGGATGGGCTGTGACCAGGCCCAGGTGCAGAGCAGCTAGCAAGGTGCGCTGGCGGTGGGCAGAGGCATTTGATAAGGACCCAGGTGCACCTGGAATTTCCTGCGCACTGCAGAGAAGGGCTTGGACCTACTTGGGCTCCCAGCCTGAGAGTGGAGTGAGAAGCAGATGGCAGGGACTCAGACTGCCTGATGCCGTAACCTTCCGCCCAGGTGGGGTGACCCTGAGTTCCCCCTCCCCACACTGCAGGTTCTGTGAGTCCTGCATCACCCAAGGTGATGCTGGCAGGGATGACCTTAGGTGGCAGTGACATGCAGGGGCCTGGTGCAAACCCATGAGGGAGCTTCGGGACTCTGCAGTGGCCAAGATCCCATGTGAGGGGACAGGGTTGGCGGGCACCTTACAGTGTTGGCAGGCTGCGGGGTGCCCATCCCCACGACAGGCAGTTCGGCTTAATGAAGAACATGGACTTCGGTGTTCGGCAGACCACATTCGAATCCTGGCTCTGCTCTTGATCTCTGTGTGACCCCAGGGAAGTGACTGACCCTCTCTGAGCCTCAATCAGCTCAGGCTCCTCATCCATAAAATGTATCTAATAATACGTACCTCCTGGGCTTGCCCAGAGAATCCCTTGAGCGCCTATGTGACAATGCACCTAGCCAGTGCCGGCAAATAATGTACCTTAAGTCAGTGGGAGCTTGTTGCTACAATGAATAGTCTATGTTATCACTTAAGGAAGAACAAAACCGGCCGCAGATTGCAGTGGCTTCTGACAAAGGCTGTCCTGGGCAAACACAGAGCAGCGAGCCGGCACTCCCCGGTGCCATCCGGACACCCAGGCTCCTCCCTCCTGCCACCTCTCACAGGGGAATGCCTGCCCTGCTGCTTCTGCCCTCTCAGAGCCACTTGTCACCCTCGGCTCCAGGCACTGGACACTGTTGTCACCACAGTTGTCACTAGGCAGCCCGCAGGCTACATGGTGGTGCTGCTGCTAGCTATGCAAATGTGGTTCCAGGGGAGACAAGGGGACACCTTGAAGGAGCCCCACGTGGGAGGAGCGGGGAGCCCAGGTCCACACCTTCCTGACCCCCAGCTCCCATGGCACTGGGAACTCACCCCTCACCCTGCACCCGCCCACCTGGCAGGTCTTACATCCTTTCCTCCATAACGCCACAGAGTGGGAACCGCTGTTTGCAGCTCTTTAGGCCCTAAAGCCAGAGGGTTAGAGGAACCTAGGAACTCCTGCCTGGCAGTTGAGGAAAATACTGATCTTAACAAGTTAATGAAGCTTTCGCCCAGCCCTGGTGGCCACACTGGGACCCTCACCTCCTTGTCCCCGCCCCCCCTTGCTTGACACAATTGTCTCATCCCAGGGGACCCTCCCTCTAGCTATGGAAGTTGAAGAATCCGATATCCAGCCCCCCTCCCCTCCAACACACCTTCCAGGGATGTTCGAGATGGAGAAACTGAGGCACAGAAAGGTTAGAGGACACTCCAAGTTCTCATAGCCAGTATTTCTGTTCCGTCTTCTCCTACCTCACTACCATCAGCTGTAGGGTGTAGCCATAGACTCAGACGTGAACCCCAGATTCAAATCCTGACACACCTCTCCCTAGCTGTGTGACCTTGGGCAAGTTACTTAACTGCTCTGTGCCTTCACTTCCTAAAACGAATGCTAATAGTAATGCCTACCTGGTGGGGCTCTCACAAGAGTTAGTCGATCGGTGCGTGAGAACCATAAACAGCACCCATCCTGGAGAATGGCTTCCTGGAGAAGCCAGGGACAGCAGGCTTCTCTCTGCAAGGCCCACCAGGGGAGGCATCCTGGAATAAACACCCACGCCCTTTCTCACTCTGCCTTCCTAGGCACATCCTTAGCCACCCCTGCTGCTGTCTAGGGCTGGAGGCAGGGTGAAACAAGTGAAGCGTGGAGGATGCAAAACTTAAGGTGGCACCCCCTCTCAGGTACTCACCGCACACTGGCAAGACCTGGAGAGTCGGTTCCTCCTTAAACCTTTCCCCTCACTCACTGTATCCCAGTCCTAGGGGTCTCCCAGCTTTGTGTCCTACAGACCTCTTACATCTGCCTGTCTGTCTGTCTGTCTCTCTTATAGTCACGCAGATGCACACGGTTCTGAGGATAGGTTGGGTATGGCTGCTTCTCCAAATCCATTAGTCTCTCGGCAGTTTCCGTCTCCCAGCGGGGGAGGGTGTTGTCCTGGGATGCCAGGCAGCCAGTGCCCACGACTGCTGCCCTTGGGTCTCTTTGCAGGGCTCAGCCAAGCAGGCCCCACCCCGGGTCCGCACCCCTTTCCCAAAGAGGCGCTGAGCATTAGGTTCTAATGAGAAATTAATCAGGCAGCTGTGCTAACAGCTAATGATAATGGCAAAGTCATTACAAAAAGATTCTTTACATGTTTTTAATTACAGCGATTAGGGGAAGTCAATAAAACATCAGTTTCCTCCCCAGCTCCCTTCCTGTCCCCATCCGGAGTCTGTTCTGTGTTTTTGTAAAGTCGCCATAAATTTCCGCCCTGCGACAAGTGGGCTGGATGGCTGAGAGGGATGAGAGAGCCTTTCTGAGTCGACAGTGTCCCTCAGGCCACAGGTTGTTTCCATCTGGATCCTGTGGCTTCTTCACCTGGGCAACATCCCCACCCTTACCCCAGCCCTCACCTGGCTGGCAGTTGGCTCACACGTGGAGCCCCAGAGCCAAGCCCACCTGCCCCATGGGGAGCCGACCGGCTTCCCATTCTACCCCGCCACCCGCCACCCATACAAAATAGGACTTGAGGGCATCACGCCCATGGTCACGTGGGCTGGGGTTGATGCCCCAAAATCCCACCAATGGGCTTGTTTTTCTTAAATCTTACCCCGAGTGTGAGTATTGAATATAGACTAGGGGCTGTGCAATGGTTCAGGAGGACTTACTGTGTCTTCCTGGAGCACTGTTTTACCTGAGTGTTTCATTTACTCGTGAAACGACTGTGGCTCTACACGCACTGCGTGCCGAGCTCTGATCTAGGCGCAGAGGACAAAACCAAGACGTGTCCCT